TTGTGTATCCTACATTGACTGAATAAGATCAGGCTAAATTTTCCCATCCAACCTGCAGTCTCATCCCTCTGCAAATTTCCTACTTGCACAGTGAAGTAGCTTGTGCAAAATGGCAGGCTAAATTTTCCCATCCAACCTGCAGTCTCATCCCTCTGCAAATTTCCTACTTGCACAGTGAAGTAGCTTGTGCAAAATGGGTGTTCTATATAGATGTGTTCTCAAAATTGTGTTCTTATTTTTGATTAACAAGCACAAAACAATTATTTACAAGAATAGCTGCTAAACCTTGATGCTTTACTTTAGAAATGTTGCAGGGGGGATCCTGTGGCACTAAAGGGAGATTTAAAGGCTGATGCTTTACTAACCAAGTAAGGAAATTATTTGTGTCCTCTTGGCTTTGGTACGAAGAATATTCACTTGATTAAAAGTATGAGGTCACCACTTTGTAATCTGTTCCTCAAAAAAAGGGGGGGAGACCCTAGTTTCTGTGCTCAAATTAAGTCACGCACACTAAGAAAATGCAAATTTGCAGATTGCATACATTCTTTAGGTTTCCAGAAACCTTTACAAAAACTGCTACCAGAAAGTGGGAGTTAAAGATTAAGATTAAAATACAGATGTGAGGTTTAGGTAGTCACGTCTCAGCAGGGGAAAGAATGGCCAACGTGCTGAACTAGAGCTACCCAGATCTGTGCTACAGAAGTTCAAATAACTACTAAGTGGCACCAGAGAATTGGTTTGTGCATCTCTTTCACATAACGTTGTGGTCATCCACAAACTCCCTATTTCGGTTGCAATGATGGAATATTCCCCTGTGTGATAGTGGTCCAAATGCTTTCATGCCCTTGATTGTGTGCGGAGGCTGGCAGTGACCTTAGCGCTTTCTTCCAAGGATGTATATGCTCTCCTGCTGTCTTAGCCCAAATTGTAACATACATAAAATAATAGAAATTAATCACATTCGGTTCATACATGTTTTGTGTTCGTGTGCACCTGTGTGCAATTCCATTGATAGTGGTTAAAATTGTTGAAAGCAAATTGATTTTATTAGGAACCATTTGTTAAACCAGATTTCATAAATATTTTTAGAAAGACTTGCAGAATACTTTTAAAAATCCTACCGCTCAGTTGCATCCAAATTGAAATATGCATTACCAACAGCCAATTATGAAACACCAATAGGATAAAAACGCCATTTATGTTTTTGTTAAACTGAAAAAAATAATATAGTGGAAGTGTCCTGTCCCAAGGTTAAATCTACCATGAAATCGCTGCTTGTGCAGTTATGGGGTAAGATGGTTAAAATTCAGAAAAGGGGGAAGTAAATGCGGCCTAGTGTCCAAGCCATATCTCTATCATTTCACAGTCTTAAAAATAGCAGTAGTAGTCTGAAGATACAAAAACCTGGCTCTGATGAAGGGTTCTTGGAAACTCAAATGGTTGAATGTTGTTTAATAAACTTCTATTGGACTGATTGCAATTACTGCCTTAATATAGATATGAATTGTCGTGCCTGCCATGATCAGCATGGTTGCTTTGCTTTTTATTTTGAACCAGAAATTGTAGTCAACCAGCAACTGTAATGGGACTAATCAATACATGACAAAGCAACCTCGTGAATGTAATCAAAGTAATTAAATTGGAAGAGTGGGAAAGCTACAGCTATTAAAGCTGTAACATTCTCATTGATCCTAGTCTCAAAATGTATTGTAGGAAGAGGTGGTAGATTTAATTAATCTCTCTGAAATAGTATTGCAGTTTTCAAGTTACCTGCTGTGACCAAGAAACACAAAAGCTAATGAAAATAAAATTCAATCCAGCTCCAGATTTTATCCAGAAACCAGCAGGTGGCATAATAGCTCTTTTAACACAGATTGGGGTCCTGCCTGTTACACAGTTAAAATGTCTGTGGCTTGGTTTAAGAACACAGGGAAGCATTTGTCAGATTGGGTTAAAGGAGATTATATTCAATCATTGTCTTAATAGTACAACAGAATGATACACTTAAAGATCCTCAAAGAATTTAAGAATAGCTATCTTAAAATTATGCTGAGCTAGTATAAAATGTTAAATAGTATTCCAAAGTGAGTAGTCCCTAATTTTTTTAGGTTGGATTCATATTGCCTGGAAGGACTGAAAGAAGTTAATGCAAAATGGATGTGTCTTGAGCTTCCTTGTTTTTAAAAGATTGTGCCTTATTTTAGGTTAGCTCTATTCCAGTCTTATTTTTTTTAGAATTATCCTTTGGAAAACGGAAATGGCATACGGATTATTTCTGTGAAACATTAGAAATACTTTCTTCTTTAGTTTTGCCGTGGCACTGCTCCTGATTGATAACTTTAAAAGTTTGCTGCCAATTCATAGTATAATTTTCACTAAACAATGAAGCTGGAATCCAGGTTATTTCCAAGTGTTCTCTGAGTAGGCAAGTTGGAGAAAAAAAATCCCAGGGGGTGATCTAGAGAAGAATGAAGTTTTTCCTGTGTGTTGGAATTAAATATATATGCGGCAACTAGAGTCATCCAGAATTTAAAATTCAATTCAAAAGTCAGCTGTTGCAGGAAATGAGCTCTTAATGTTTATCCCAAGTATTTATTTAAATAAAGAAAAATGTAGCTCTCAATATCCTCCAGCTTGGAATAGTAATAAGCCTTCATTGACTTCTTGTGCTCATTTGGCGTGAGCATCCATCGTGCTAGGTGGCTACAACTGAGAAACCATGTGCCGAGGTTCCAATGAGAGCAGGGTTGGTTCTTTTCTTCCTGGATATCGCTTCTGTTTTGGTTCAACAGTCCAAAACCTCGGGAGTAAGGAAGAATCCTGATGTTCTGTCTTTAGAGACTAGTGTATTAGATCCACACAAAGCACTGCCCTGGTAAGGCTTTGTAGGAGGCCAGGATGCTTTTCCTGTGTTTTGGGATCAGCTGCACCTCGCAGCTGGATATGAAAAGCTTCCAGGAAACTTGTATGAATGGAGAAGGCAGAGCCTTCTATGGCTCACCAAATGTAATCCAGTGTTTGGCAACATCTTTTTTCCATTCCTTTTTTCTCATATATGGATCTCTGAACAGCCCCAATGTATGGGCTTTTGAGGAGTCAACAAAGCCATCTGGAGCCTGTGGTGCCAAGGGGGCAGAGTTGGGAGGCTGCCAATCATGGTCCCCATCAACAGCTCCAGAACCTCAAATTTGGCTAATGTACTAGGGAGAGGAGGCAGGGGATAGAGCTTCCTAGGATTTTTTTTCCCCCTTGTAAAGCTGTTCTAGGGGCATTCCAATAAAGGAAAGACGTTTTCTTGGCATGCTGAAAGAGGCTGTGATACTCTGACAAGTGACTTCATATGAAGAACATGCCAAGCAGAACTGTCCTTCAAAGAACCTCTTGGTGCTGGCTGTAGAATGAATCACTGGAAATACGTTGCTTAGCATTCCATTTTTGTCATATAACCTACCTGTTGTAGGTGTTTCAGCTCTTATTATTTATCGTATTATTTGCCCACAGTTATAAATAACATGCCATTTCTAATAATTCCCAGGACAATCTACAAGAAAAACAAAGCAATTCAGTTAAAGCCTGCTCACAATAAAATGCAGATTAGCATGCCTGAAATACCCCTGTAACCATATGATAAGGGAGGGGTCCTTTCATATAAAAGTGGTATGAAATTGAAGAGTACTTTGGAAATACAGCTGAAGCTGAGGGCTTATTTGAGATAGTTTTCCAAGCTGAGTGTCCTGAATTGGTATTCAGCCCCAGGCAGCTATTTGAGAAGAAGGAAGAGCAGGTTGGTTCTAATTCCTGTAATTTGATCTTGATTGACCAGCTTTCAGCTTGTTTGGATTACTGGATTCAAAGTGTTGGGTGATTAGCAGGCAAGACATGAAGGTTGATCTCTGTGGGAACAGCCTTGGCCTCTTTCTTATGAGCACCTTGAGACATTCCCAAGTGTAGAACAGACATCACTTTTATTCCTCAGGTAACAACAGGCATTTGTGGAAAAGTATTTTGGGTTACAGCAATGAAGCACAAAAGAGCAACACTAGATTTGGATAGCAATTCAGATATAAACTGCAAGACTAAAATTAGTGGATGGATGGCCTGAGTAAGTGGGAGGAAAACCTGGCTGCACGTTGAAAGGAACCCCCATCTTCAGCAGGAACTACAACCAAAAACATTTTAATCCATACCTTAAAGTATTATTAGTTGTTAAATTGAGTGTCTTCAGTGGAGCCA